CGAGCATGTTTGGTGTGACGGGGATTCGAACCCGCGACTCTCAGATTGCGAGTCCTAGTGCCGGACTAGTTGCCGGGCCTAGTGATGTGTAGAAAATAATTGTTTGTTTGTTTTGAAGTTAAGCACAAAGCTACACAAGGGGCTACCTGTGCTCTGCGCACTGGGGGGCGTGTAGAATATAACTAACTAGCTGGGTGTAGGATAGTAAGGTCACGTTTAAACTAACCAATCAAACTTACTTGTTAAAAAATTTAAACATTATGTTGCTTTAAATAAAAAAAAACATCGGCACTTTAAACGATTCTTTTCTGAGGCAAAGCCACATTGAGCTATCTGCTGTGTCCACCGTGGGAAATCGAACTCCAGATTTTTAGCATTGTTAGTCTATAGACTTACCACTACCCGGCCGGGGAACAAACGGGTTTCAGTTTTTAATTCTAAATGTTTTGGATGCTGACAAGATTCTCGAATAATACTTTTTGAAATTTGTGCAGATATCTGAATGGCACCTTATGCACATAATAATAATAGAGTAAATGGCCAAGTCAGACATCCGTATGGTTCAGGCATAGCCATTCCTAATTCTGAACTGTGGACCAGAGTAAGGTCAACCAACTTGCAACACCCGCCGCCTGAAGTGCTAACCCTACCCGAGAACGGAATTGACTCTTATAACGCACCCACAGCTGAAAGTAAACCCTACATCCTCAGATTTCCAGTTTGATACACTAATCCTTAGGCCATGCTCAGAGCGGAAAAAAGGGCCTTGTTGATTTTTTTTACTGCGTTACAAAGCTGGGTACCTTTTTATTAACTTAAACCAAAACACAAGCATAGCTCTGTACCAAAATAGTGTGCTAATCGTAGACTTTACCTTGCTCGAAAGTTTCCCCCCCTAAACACATTAAAGCTGCGTTTCTCAAGGTGTGCCCCCCCCCACGGGGGCGGAAATGATTAGGGTAGAGTCAATAGCGCAAGGTTAAGCGTTTCAATATAGTTTTTATTAACTAAAATAACAAGTAATTACTACAACACATATAGAATTTTTGAAGTGTATCCGTGTATTACATCTCGTCACTTTACTCATTCTTTTACTCATTTAAAAAAAAGAAACCATATTTATTAAAGGGGGTGGCGTGGATGACAAAATTTTGGGAAACGTTGTCTCAAAGCTTGCTACTTTAGTGAAGAACACTGTTGTTTTTCCCTTCTTCTTCTATGAAACACATATATTCTTATCTAGCTGGTCTGGCATGGCCTGGTGGTTAAGACACTCAACTGCTAATCTGAGGAAGGAAGAGTTGAATCCCCCTCCCACTAACTGGTCTGGCATGGCCTGGTGGTTAAGACACTCAACTGCTAATCTGAGGAAGGAAGAGTTGAATCCCCCTCCCACTAACTGGTCTGGCATGGCCTGGTGGTTAAGACACTCAACTGCTAATCTGAGGAAGGAAGAGTTGAATCCCCCTCCCACTAGCTGGTCTGGCATGGCCTGGTGGTTAAGACACTCAACTGCTAATCTGAGGAAGGAAGAGTTGAATCCCCCTCCCACTAGCTGGTCTGGCATGGCCTGGTGGTT